ATCTGGTCATTTAAAGGAATAGTTCATCCAACAATGAAAACTCAAGATATTTGAATAATACTAGCTGCTTCGCTTCAAAATGACAAAGAACCACCATAAAATAAGAAGATTATGAGTGAATCTGAATCTGAATATGAAGCTACAGAAGACTTGAAATAGTGTATTAGTCATACTATTAAGGCTTGTTCACACCGGGACGAATATCGCGCGCGATTATCGCCGACGTTTAACGCCTCGTGACTAAACAAAGGGTGCCAATGTGAGTGTGCACACCGACGAGCAAAACACGAGGCGTAAAAGCGCCATTTTTAAAACAATGCCTCGGGCTCGTTTTTTGGGTTTGACGCGCCGCGTTAAAAACTTGCCGACCAATGAGATTGGCGCTTTTGTTCACGTGCCTGGAGCTGCTGAAGTTACAGTAAAACATGACTTGGTGGCGCTCAAGCACAAAACGGTCTTGCCGAGCACACATTGATACCTAACGACAAAGAGGAAGTAAGTAGACCAAGAAGATGCATCGAGGCAAGATGAATGTAGAGCTGCTGGTCTCATTGGTGTCTGAACACAAAGGGCTTTATGACAAACACGACAGCGACTACAAAAATCTCGATAAGAGGGAGTTGTTATGGAGAGGAATTGCAGATCAAATAGGATTCGATGTGTACCGGGGTATTTCTGTTTTTCATTAAGCGCCATCTAATGTCAGGGAATGAACTTGCACGTTCACTCGGCTCATCGCCAGCGAAAATTGCTTGAGTATGAACACAAAAGACGCGTCGAAAAATGTCGGCGATAAGCGTGCGCGATAATCGTCCCGGTGTGTACGAAGCTTTATGATTCTATTATGGTGTTTTGTTTTGTTTTGTTTTTCTTTTTGAGTGAAACAGCACAGCTGCATACAGCACTTCCTATCATTATGAAAAGAGTATTCAGTACATTTTTCAACAGAAGAAGAAAGGAAGTCATACTGGAATAATTATGTGGGTAAGTAAGAAACAGTAGCATAACACTCTTACCATTTCTGCTACAGTATATAAACATTTAGTAATATACAGTATAACGATATATAAAGACATGTCAGAAAGTATACGGTTCCCAAATTCAGCAAGAATTTTCATTTTTAATACATTTCCTTTGGGCTTTGTCCAATTTTTTTAAATGTTTCTGAAAAAAAGACTTCTGCTCACCAATGCTGCATTTATTTGTTTAAAAATACAATAAAATCAGTAATATTGTGAAATATTGTTTTTTTTGTGAAAAAACAAGGCAGCTGAGCAGAACGTATGCTACTGCTAGAGAATTAATATATATATATATATATATATATATATAGAACGATACATACATTTGTGTGGCAAATTACAGTATATCTACTGCTAGACACATACAAATTTAGTATATGTACAGTACAATCTAAAGTGTTGTGGGTGTTTGCCAGGAAGTGAAACTTCACACACAGACACTGATCACTGATAGGACGCTCACCACACTCACAGACACACTCTCTTAAAGATCAGGACCCCTGTTTCATTTTGATTTACTAACTGCTGGACTCTAAGTGATTCAGTCTGTGTATATCTGACACTGAGAGACCTACTCATCCAGCTTAGGTTGATATAAATTCACCTATCATATATAGGCCACAGTCTGTAAACCACACACACGCAAACATGGAAAAGTCCTCGAATATCAGGTGCATAAACCACTAAAATTAATGAAGAGGAACACTCTCAAAACTGATGACAGCGTCTGCCAAAAAAGGAACAGATGCCATTTAAAGCTTAGTGACAGGGATAAATGGACTAGCGCTGCAATTAATAAATCAACTATTATTATTATTATTTATTTATTTACTTATTTTTATTTATTTATTTTTATTGTTTGCTGTTGTTTTTACTAGTTTTATTTATTATGGGACTTTTTTTTTTTTTTTTTTTTTATAAAAATATGTCTATATACAGTAGTTATTTTAGTTTAGTAAAAGAAAACGAGAAATTATACCTTGCCAACTATCTGAAATAAAATGTTTAACTTTTTTATATTTTATTTCAGTTCACATTCATTTCAAGTACCAGAAATATTTTTTTTAATAGTTTTTGTTTTATTACACAGCAATAACCCTGCTCTAGAGTTTCAGAAGTGATCTTAACAATGCTTCAAACTGCTCAAATGTGACCCTGGACCACAGTCTTAAGTCGCTGGGGTATATTTGTAGCAACAGCCAAAAATACATTGTATGGGTCAAAATTATAGATTTTTCTTTTATGCCAAAAATCATTAGGATATTAAGTAAAGATCATGTTCCATGAAGATATTTTGTAAATTTCCTACTGTAAATATATTAAAACTTAATTTTTTATTAGTAATACGCATTGCTAAGAACTTCATTTGGACAATTTTAAAGGCGATTTTCTCAATATTTTGATTTTTTTGCACCCTCAGATTCCAGATTTTCAAATAGTTGTATCTCGGCCAAATATTGTCCTATCCTAACAAACCATACATCAACGGCTGTTTATTCAGCTTTCAGATGATGTATAAATCTCAATTTCAAAAAATCTACCCTTATGACTGGTTTTGTGGTCCAGGGTCACAAATATATAAACAAATACTCAAACATTATGCTTAAATGCTAGGATAGGCTCCAGCATCACAGCAGCCTATGGACAAGCAGTTTGGAAAACAGTATTGTTAATAACAAACAATAATCTAATCAATAATCTATTTGGCCACATTACTTTTAACCACATAACTTTTTGAGCCAATCACCAGTGCTGCAGATGGAATAATAATCACTCCGAAATTGCTCGAACACTGTATTGACCAATCAGAATAGGATCTATTTTTTATCATGTACTTTAGATGAAACGTTTTCGATTTTAAATGTATGTCCTTGATTATGACATCCTGTAAACACACACACAAACAGGCACACAAACACTCATAATTTGTTGTCAGAGTTGGACTGCTATAATATAAAGAACTGTCCACAGACACGAGCAGCAACATAAAATCACAAGAGTGTTCAAGTTTGCACTGCAGATGACAGACAAAATTGTTTTTTTTCTGGATAGCTAAAGCATGGTTGTAAAGAGTGAGCAGTGTGTGTGTGTGTGTGTGTGTGTGGTTGTGGTTGTGTGTCGCCACTGCAGCATGAATGTGTTTTGAACATGAAAATAGATTGCCTACTTCATATCACCAGAGAGAAATCCAGACAGAGGGAAAGAAAAGCAGATAATTTAAAATGAGTATGTGACGGAGAGCTCCGAGTACAGAAAAAGTGCCACAGAAAAATATAAAGACTCAAGGATGAAAGTAAACGGTCTTAGACTCGTGTTCATTTTTCATTCCACTTCTACAGCAAACAGAGCTGCTTACGTGAGATTACAAAAAAAAAAATTATAATAAAAAAAACCTTTGATGCTCAAGTCATTTGTACTGCTTTTATAGTACCATTTGTTTATATTTAAAATAATCAAATGAAAATAAATAATTAATTTAAATATATACATTACTGTTCACATTTTTAATGTTTATGACAGGAGGTTCTTATGCTTACCAAGGCTGCATTTATTTGATCAAAAACACAGTAACAACAGTTATTTTGTGAAATATCAATACAATTTAAAATAACTTTTATATTTGAAATTTTAAAATGTATTTATTCCTGTGATGCAAATCACATGATCCTTCAGAAATCATTTCGATTTGATGCTCAAGAAACATTTCTTCTCATTATCAGTGTTTAAAACAGCTGTGCTGCTTAATATTTTTGTGTAAACTGTGACAAATTTACAGATACATTTTTCTAGATTTGTTTGCAACATAAATGTCTTTACTGTCACTTTTGATCAATTAAATGCATCCTTGCTGAATAAAAGTATTAATTCCTTTAAAAAAAAAAATCTCAGTGACCTCAAACTTTTAAATGGTAGTGTAGTAAACAAACTATTCCTAACATGGGTTTCTCCTTCTCTTCTCTATTAATTTTTTTCTTGTCTTTCATTTTTTTTAGGTTATTCTTTTGGATCAAATTTTCATGGGATTCATGGGCGCTAATTACGGCCCAGCCAGGGGGAAGCCATTCATACACACTCACAGAGGACTGTGCACATCCACATCAGTGTTAATTAAACAATACCATCCCTGTGATTAAGAGGTGTCGGGTTGGGAGTAACTTAAAGCTGGATAATGAAGAAAAACTGTGGTTCTTTCTCTTTCACACATAGAAACATTTGCACCTCTCTTCACACACACACACACACACACGCATTCTCTAACGTTTAAAAAGTGACATTCTTGAGAGCCAAATTATAAAAATTCTTACAGCCCTAATCTAAGGAAAGCATGTAAATACAGCAGGAGGTTCAAAAATGTACACAACACCATGCAGAATGTGTGGGAGTGTGAGAAATCAGGCAAGTCTGTATGCAGCATGTACACTGTGTATAGCAAATTTTCTGAATACCCAGAAAACATTGCATGGAATATTGTGTCCCACAGTGCAATCCAATGCATCTTCCATTTCCAGTGCCATAATAAATAATTTATTATCTTTAATATCAGAATAGTTTCTCCAAGAAATGAAATGGAGACTTTTTGCTCAGATGTTTCTCCTTAATCATTGATTTACTATTATAATTTTTATTGTTATTTGAATTTATTTTTATATTTTCCAATTTCACTTTAATTTTAGGTAAAGTTTTAGTCATTTGAACAGGTTTTTTTAAATACATGTCTAAATATGTTTTAATTTTTATTCATCCGAGACAAAATTGATGCATCACCCTTTGAACTTTTGTTGTTCCTGCATACTGTTTCACATACTATTATTTAAAAATACTATGCAGCATACGGTGTTGTGTAGTATGCATTAAGCAGTACTGTATTCCATTCCAAATATAGCCATAGTATCATATTTGTGTGAATGCATTCATTTAGGTTGCTCTGTGTGAGAGAATGTGCAGACATTGATTTGTGAAGGTCTGTGTGACACTCACTCTGCGGGAGGGTGGATATCATCTGGTTTGGTCTCGAAGAAGCGGAGAACTTCTTCACTCTGCGAGATCTGGGGAGGAAGCCGAACCAGCGCCTGACAGACAGACAGGACATGAAACCGGACAATCAGACCCCAAACAACAGAACAATCACTCAGAAACACAGCAGACTAATGAATCCCCACTATACCAAATGTTATTTCCTTTGAAATCTCCATAAGGGTCAATGATAAATACAGATATCCAAGGTGACGAAAAGGAAAAGTCTTGTAAATTCAGGAAGAGAAAACATAATTTTCTGCATGAATTGGATTTATGTTTTGAAATGTGTGGAACGCTACAAAAAGCAAAGAAAACTCTACTTGTGATTTTAGTTTAAATTACTTGACTTGGATCCTAAAGGAGCAATTTTGCTTCAACAAATCGCACAAACATTTGTCTAACAAATTCAGTCTGTGTTCCAACTGCTTTGGAAGCTCTCAAAAATGATTTGAAAATTAGAGAAAGAACAAAGGAAAAAAATAATAAGGAAAGAGGGAGAGAGACAACTCCTCTGAAGAATCCCTGGAGTAAACCCTGTTATTTATTTATCTTTGAAGAACACAGTGCAATTAAATGGAGATGGTTTGTCTAATTAAAGCTTTCAGGAAATAGCTGGTAAACATCATATGTTTAAGCAAAGACACATCCCTCTCTCTCTCTCATGAAGGGATTTTGATGTGTAGAGGAAATCTGGAGGAAGTTAGTTATTTAAATGTCATATAATCAACTGTCACATAATTAAAGGCTAATTTAAATAAATGTTAAATAAAAGCTGTCAATTTAGAGTGGTTAAAAAATAAATAAATAAAATGCATGTCCCCTGAACCGTACACAAACTCAATAAGGAATTGTACTAATATTTTGTTTTTTTGTTTTGTTTTTTTGCAAATTAATATTATTCAGTCTTTATGAGCATAAAGTCTTTGTGTTGTCTTTATTTATGCGCAATTCACATCAAATATTTACATATGCGATTAATCATTTTATTACAATTTTTAATTGACTGACATTATAGATGGGCATCTTAAGGACACATTTACGTTAATATGTTCTAAACTATTTTTGGATGTGTTTTTTTAATGTCTTTCGTGTAGAAGTCATGGAAATTGTTGCCACAACAGCAGTCCTTCCAAGACATCCCATAATGCTACCTATCTCACTGTCTCAGCCCACTTTAACAGCTGCTCTCCAGTGTGTGTGCGTGTGTGTGTGTGTGTGTGTGTGTGTGTGTGGGAAATTGTTCAGTAGTCCTTCCAAGACATCCCATAATGCTACCTATCTCACTGTCTCAGCCCACTTTAAACTTTAACCTCCAGTGTGTGTGCGTGTGTGTGTGTGTGTGTGTGTGTGTGTGTGTGTGTGTGTGTGTGGA